GAGGGCCAGGCTCCTCGAAAAGTGGATCCGTGTAGCAGAGGTGAGCAGGGATCGTGGCCCGGTTGGGGATCAGTGTGCATGGGTCCTCACTCTCGCTTCCTCTTGGGCCTGCAGGAGTGCCGACTGCTGCGGAACTTCTCCTCTGTGTATGCCGTGGTGTCCGCCCTGCAGTCCAGCCCGATCCACAGACTTCGGGCAGCATGGGGCGAGGCAGCCAGGTGGGCTGGGAGGCCCCGCTATCAGCTGAGGGTCGGGGGTGGCTGAGCCAGGCCTGTCCTCAGAGCCACCCTTCTTGCTCCTCCAGGGACAGCCTCAGAGTCTTTTCCAGTCTCTGCCAGATTTTCTCAGAGGAGGATAATTACTCCCAGAGCCGGGAGCTCCTTCTGCAGGTGAGAGAGGCTTCATTCTCTGGATTCCTGACAAGTGGGGGTCCCCGGCCTGCCTCCACCTTACCTCTCCCGACTTTGTCACCTTCAGGAGGGGAATCCGGAGCCCAACTCCAAGAAGACCCCGAGGCCTGGCTCCCGGGGTGGGGTGAGTGACTGCGCTGCCTCACCTCGCTGTGGGGGTGTGGCCTGGAAGGGGGGGATGAGAGCTCCTGGGCCAGGGGCAGTGCCTGAGGCTTGCCTTGCCCCAGGGAGTGGTCCCGTACCTCGGCACCTTCCTCAAGGACCTGGTGATGCTGGACGCAGCCTCCAAGGACGAGCTGGAGGTCAGTGGCATGCTGTGTGGTTGCGTGCATGCGTGCACGTGTGTGCCTGCACTTCCAGCTTCCCGACTCTGTCCAAGTGCTGGCGCTGGGGCCAGGCCCCTGGACTCTGGTTCTGGCCCTGGGCCAGCTGTTTAGGTTCCTTGCGCTTTGGTTTCTGTAAATGGGAAACCAGCAGTGATGCCTGTGTTTGTTATTGTAAGACTCAAATGTGAAGGGCTTAGAATATGCCTAAAAGGTACACATCTCTGGTTTATGATAAACAGCTGGGCGTGGCAACATGTTTGTAATCCCAGCCCCTGGGAGGCAGAGGCAGGAGGATCAAGTAGAGTTCCAGGTCAGCCTGGGCCATGTCGCAAATTTGAGGCCAGCCTGCACCACACAGACCCTATTTCAACAGTAACATAAAAAACAAAGGCTCCGGCCCTAGCTCTGGTAGAACCTGCCTTCTGTGTGTGAGGCCCTGGCTTACATTACCAGCAGCACCATCAAAAAGCAAATACAGGCTGGGGAGATGGCTCAGTGCAATAAGTGCTTCCCTGTCAAGCGCAAGGGCCTGAGTTCAATCCCCGGTTATGCAAAAAAAAAAAAAAAAAGCAAATACTTCTTCCAAAGCACCAATTTAAAGGTTCTGTGGGTGGAGAGGAGTGAGGAACAGAGGAATCCTCGGAGTCGGAGGGGCAGGAGCTGCTGGAGGCTGGTGTTAGAACTTCACCCTGCTGCCCTGTCCCACTTTCCTTGTAGAATGGCTACATCAACTTCGACAAGCGGAGGAAGGTGAGAGCCAGGGTCCTGGACATCCAGAGTACATCCCAGGAAGGGAGGATGGAGGGAAGTTGGGGGGGTCCCTGAATTGTGGCTCCTGCAGTTTGAGGGCTCCTTCCCAGGAATTTGCTGTCCTGTCTGAGCTGCGGAGACTTCAGAATGAATGTCGCGGCTATGACCTCCGACCTGACCCCGATATCCAGCAGTGGCTGCGGGGGCTCCGGCCGCTGACCGAGGCTCAGAGGTGACTGGCTGCGTGTGGGTGGGCCTGGGGCTGTCCTGGGTGTGCGCTTCCTGACCGCAGACCCTGTCCACTGCCCTCCACCCAGCCACCGAGTGTCCTGTGAAGTGGAGCCACCTGGTACCAGTGACTCCCCGGCCCCACGGGTGCTCCGGCCGACACTGGTTGTCTCACAGTGGACAGAGTAAGTCGCAGCTGGAGGAGGTTTCTTGGGGACCTGTCACCTGTCCTCTAATACTCGCCATCTCATGCTGCTCCAGGGTGCTCAGCTCTGTGGGGGGCCCCACCCACCTTGTGTCCTGGGACCAGCCCAGTGTGGGGGAAGATGAGGTGCCCGGAACGCCTGCACCTCTGCTGACCCGGCTGGCCCAGGTGAGTGCTGCGCTTGACCTCCAACTTCAGCACTGACCCTGGCCTTGTGTCTTTCCTTCTTGGCTTTGCCACCTTCACACCTGCCCCATGTCCTTTGTCCCTAGCACATGAAATGGCCCTCTGTGTCGTCTCTGGACTCTGCCCTGGAGGGCAGTCCCTCCCTACACAGCCCTGCTGACCCCCGCCACCTGTCTCCCCCAGCCGCCTCCCCCAGGCCTAACCGAGGTCACCGCCGCTCTGCCTCCTGTGGCTCCCCGCTGAGTGGGGGCCCAGGGGAAGGAGTGTCCCGGGGGACTGGGTCCAGGGCAGGGGCATCTGGGCCAGGGGCCTCTGACTGCCGAATCATCCGGGTGCAGATGGAGCTGGGGGAGGACGGCAGCGTCTACAAGAGCATCTTGGTGAGGGGCCTGGCCTCGCAGGACAGTAACCGCGGTCTTGGGGGCGGGCAGCCAATGGAGTTGACAATAGAGTTGACCCAAGTTTAGGCTGGCTTTGGGACTTGTTTTAGTTTGGTGGTGGCTTTGGGGATCGTGTTAGATTTCTAGGATGAATAGCAGAGACTCAGCCCTAGGCTGGCCTAGCGGTACTGGAAGCCCAGATGGCTCACTTTACAGCTGGGGCAGTTTGGTTGGGCAGCTGAATGATTTCTGCTGTCTTAGTCTCTTGTCCTTGCAGGTGACAAGCCAGGACAAAGCTCCAAGTGTCATCAGTCGTGTCCTGAAGAAAAACAATCGTGATTCTGCAGTAGCTTCAGATTTTGAGTTGGTTCAGCTGCTACCTGGAGAGCGAGGTCAGAGCCAGGAGGGAAGGCAGACTGGGGGACAGGGTCCAGCCATGGGTGTCCAACACCCCACGGTGGTGGGGGCAGTGACTGTGTCACTCTCCTGTCATTCTACAGAGCTGATCATCCCACCCTCAGCCAACGTCTTCTATGCCATGGATAGCGTGTCTCATGATTTCCTACTGCGGCAGCGACGGAGGCCCTCAGCGGCTGCGCAGGGCTCTGCCAGCGGCCCCTCTGCCTCAGGAACTCCCCCGAGTGAGGGAGGAGGGGGCTCCTTTCCCAGAATCAAGGCCACAGGGAGGAAGATCGCAAGGGCACTGTTTTGAGGAAGAAGGCCTGTTGGTCATGGTGCTCATACCTGATGTGGGTGGCCATCCAAACAGCGGCCGTTACATCACAGTGGACCGAAATACCACCAGGGGTCAGCCACCCTGGGGTGGTGAAGTGCCACTTGTTTACCAGGCCACTGAGGAATACAGCTCTGGGGGAACTGGGAATCTTGAAACCCAGTTGGAGAGCTGAGCACAGCTCCCCATTTCTTGAGGTGCGACGTGCTTGCTGGGTAGACTGTATTCTGGGTCCTGCCACACCCCTGGGGAGGCCTCGAGGTGCTGAGCCCCAGGGCAGAGGGGAAGGGGCGCCATGGGGAGTTCCCTTCCCACTCTGGGGAGGTTCTAGTCACTGTGACAACACTAAGATAATAAACCAAAACACTACCCGAGTCCTCCTCCCGCCCTTGCAGTGCAGACGAGCGGGGTGGGGAGGTGGCTGAAGGTTGAGGCCATGGGGTGCAACTGTTTTCTCCTCCCACAGGGACTAAAAGAAAGGTGCATGGAACTTTGCTCTGCAGTAACCTCACTTTTGTTCTATTTATTCTTTTTGTTCTGTTCTCAAATTTTTCTCTGCTTGGCATTTGTTACCTGTGTGAAGCAGTAACTTCAAATTGATTAGTATGGGCTGGTGAGATGGCTCAGTGGTCTAGAGCACCTACTTAGAACAAGCTAAGCTAAACAAAGCACAAGGACCGCAGTTCAATCCCCAGCACCACATGCCAGCCAGCCTGCCCCCTGGTGGGCTGAGCTGCCCCCCCACAAATAAAATTTAAAAAATTAAACAAAAACAAATTGATTAGTGTGAAGAACTGCTCTGAGGGGAATTATGACAGAATATTAGGCCGGGGAGATGGCTCAGTGGAATAAGCGCTTCCCTGGCAATAGCAAGGGCCTGAGTTCAATCCCTGGTTCTGCCAAAAAAAAAAAAAAAAAAGAATTTCAGGACAAAAGAAATGCCAAGCATGGAGCCTGCAACCCGGCACTCGGGCCTCTGTGCCCGGACTGCACAGTGAGACCCTGTCTCAAAAAGACAAAAACATGATGCTATGGACAACATACAAACTGATTTTAAGTCAGGTTAAACTATAGACAAGCAAATTTCAGAAAGGCTGAAAAAAACTGAAAGCTAGGTGTCAGCCATTCCCAGCAAGGAGGGTCACCCGTTTCATGCTGGAGCCTTAGAGAACTGTGGGTCTGTAAAGCACCCTTCCCCACGCAGGGTACATGTTCTCAAGCTTCTGCGAGTGTCACAAGGACCAAGCACAGGGAAGGCACAGGGCTGTATGTACAGAAAGAAGGAGCTGAGACACTTCAGGTTTTGAAGACAGGCTGGGGATGCAGTTCAGTGACACAGCACCTGTCTGGCAAGTGTGTGAGGTCCTGAGTTCGACTGCCAGTATTTTTTTTTTTTTTTTTGTGGAATCGGGGTTGAACTCAGGCCCTTGCCAGGGAAGCGCTTATTCCACTGAGCCATCTCCCCAGCCCCAACTGTCAGTATTTAAAAAAAAAAAAAAAAAAAAGGCAAAGCAAAAAAAGACTCAAGGAGAGGGGAAGCAAAAAGATGTGTTAAGTACACAGCAGCTCCTACTATGATTGTAAACTTTATCAACTACAAACAAGCACTGTGAAAATTAGCACAAGGGCCTGAGTTCAATCCCCAGTTCCGCAAAACAAAACAAAACCAAATCAACAACTAAGGCTTTAACCTGCCTCAGGGCTCTAGCTGAAAGAACCCAGACCTGAGGGAGCAAGGCCAGCCATGGAGGTAGCAGGTGGAAGGACTGGGTGAATTAAATGGCCAGACACGATTACATTTTATTACCTCCTACATCACAGGCCCTCGAGCTGCCTCATTCCCGCCCGGCCCCCACCGTGGGGTCAGGCCTCCCCCGGAGTCCCCGCTTTGGTGGCCTGGGCCCGCCGGAACTCCTGCTGCAGTTGAGCAAGGGTCTCCCTCTGCTGCTCTGACTGCCGCTCCAGGTCCCGGAGCTGGGATTCATAGCGCTTACTGAGGGGAGGAGAGAGCCAAAGCAGAAGAGGAGAAATTAGTGGGGCTTCCTATTGAGGGTGCCGAGGGCAAGAGGCTGAGGGAGAAGGTTGGGTCGCAAGGGAAGGAAGGAGTTGGGGATCCTGCCAGATTCTCCGCTTCTGCTCCAGCCCCAGCGCTTACATTTCGGCCGTGATGTAGTCCAGCCTCTTCCCCACCGTGGCCCGAGCCTCGCCCAGCTCCTGTCTGACCAGCACGGGACCCAGAAGTTTAAAGACCACGTTGGACCCGTCCAGCAGGGCCAGCTCCTGACGGAGGGGGGCGGGCGACCGCGGTCAGAGTCCCCGCCGCCGCGGGCCCGCCTCCGCGTGGATCAGCACCTGCTGCTCACCTCCTTCACGATGTTATTTTCCGTTAGCTGCGCCTCCAGCTTCTGCCTCCCGGACATGGATTTACTCAAGTCTGGGGGGGGTGGTGGAAAAGCATTAGCAACACCGAATGTGCCCGCGCCCCTGCTCCTACGCGGGAGAAAGCGGATGCGAGGGAGCGGACAAGGGTGGGCTCGGCGGGCAGGCGGAAAACTGCGCGCGGCGGCGGATGGGCCCGACAGCCTTCTCCATGTGGCTTGGGGGGGCGACTGCACCGGGCGACCCACACCGATCCGGCTCCCTTACCCTTCTGCAGCTGCTGATATTTCTCCACTTCTCCCTGCAGCTTCTTTTGGATCAGTTCAGCCATGGCGAGGATGAAAGCCTGCAGGGAGGAAGGGGCTCTGGGTCTCAAGCTCTTCAGTAGGATGTTTTAACTCACCTTTATGGTCTGGCCTGCGAAAACGACAGCACTCTTGAGAGGCAACTCCTCGGGGAACTACAGCCTTTCCTCGTCCCGGATATCAACTCAATGCTGGCCTCAGAAAAGGAAGACAAAACGAGATCGCGAGCCTCTTAACAGAAACCCTAACCTACTCACGTTCTTCTTTTAGTGTTAACAAACCCGGAAGTAAACAAGGGATTGTGGGAAAACATGGTGCCGGAAGCTGCCGGCTGACATACACTGGGAAATGTAGTTCTCACACGTTTAACGACGGGCGTTCTGATCAAAAGATCGGACCCACAAGGTTTCAGACAAAATGAGAAAGCAACTCAGACAAACAAAATGCACTTCTAATTGGGTCTTGGCTCCCAACTTGCCATTTTTTCATTATTCTGGCGTAAGCTTTGCCAGGGAGAGCCTATCCTTCCCGTCATGGGAGAGCGTGCCCTTAGTCAAGATGGCGCAGAAGGCTTCATACCTGGAAGGTGTTGATTGGGTGTAGGGCAGAGGCCTTCCGGAAGTTTCTACGCGAAAGGCTGGGACAGCTGAAGAGTTTTTGCACGTGGATCCTTGTTGGGGTGGGCGAGATGGAGACCGTCCCTAGGCCGGGCCCTGGTGTCCCGCCCAAGAAGGGCAAACTTCAGGCCAAGCGAAAGGTAGAGGCCCTGAGTGGGAAGGAAGGTTTTAGCTACGGGGTCGGAGTGCGGAGTATGAGGGTTTTTAATCTGCCCGTAGAAACCGCGGCGATACTGGGAGGAAGAGACCGCTCCTGCTGCTGCCGGGGCCTCTCCGGGGCCCCCTCGCAAAAAGAAGAAGAAGAATCAGGAGCCCCGCCGCCAGAAGCAGAACTCTCACAACTCGGAGAAGTCTTGGGTCTCTAAGAAACCCCAGTTTACGAAGAAGTCCCGGGAACAGAAGAAGCCCCGAGAACACAAGAAGCCAGGGCCCCAGCGGACGCTGTCTGGGGTGATCTGGGTCCTGATTGGGTGGCAGGGCAGGGAGCCCTGTGCCGTGATTTGGGGGTCAACCAGAGCCTGCGTGCTGACTGTCTCCCCTGCCCCTGCCCCAGGCCCAGGACCCTTTCCCAGGCCCCGCCCCTGTGCCTGCGGAGGTGGCCCGGAAGTTCTGTCGCATTGACAAATCCAAGGAGGTGAGGACCAGTGGGCCAGTAGACAGGGTGGCGATAGATGGAGTACCCAGGAAAATTGGGTGGAGGCTTCTCCAGGAGGCCCTCCGGGCGCTCCACGTAGTCTCTGGCCTTCTACTTTTTCCTCACCAACAATACTGTAGCTACCACATTCTCTGCCTAAAACCCGAAGCAAACTTGAGGTGGCTGAAGCCTTAGAAGAAGAGATAAGCGTCAAAGCCGCTCGTTCTGAGCTGCTGCTGGCAGAGGAGGCTGGGTGAGTGGAGCCCCAATCTGAGCCTCCCCAGCTGTTGCATGACAGAACTCATTTTATTTTGCTATGTTTGCTGACCCTCTCTTTCAGGTTTCTGGAAGGGGAGGATGGGGAAGACACAGCCAAGATCCGCCAGGCTGACATTGTAGAGGCTGTGGACATCGCTAGTGCAGCCAAGGTGAGGCTGAGCAGGGAAAGGGCTGGTGGGCTCATTCATTGGTGGTGCTGGGCAGGAGAGGATGGGCCTGCTCAGGGCGTTCTTCAGGGAAGCCCAAGCCCATCCTTTCTTGATTTTTTTTTCCCCCGCTCTTCCCCTTCCCAGCATTTTAACTTGAATCTGCGGCAATTTGGACCCTACAGATTGAACTATTCTCGAACTGGGAGGTAAGGTTGCATTCCTGTGATTGTGTGTTTGAGGGAATTAAACCCTGTGTGTTCTACCGTTGAGCCTCACCCCCTCTCTGCAGTGGCTCTTTGTCATTTTCATTTTCTTTCTTTTGGTCTTTGGTGATGCTGAAGATTGAACTCTTCCTACTGAGTTGCATCCCCAGCTTTTTTAAAAATTTGAGATAGAATGTGGCTAAGTTGCAAAGTTGCCCAGCCTGGGGCTTGAATTTGCAATGCTTCTGCCTCAGGCTCCCTGAGTAGTAGGATAACAGGTGTATACCCCCATGCCTGGCTCCAGTAACCCCGGAACTGGGGGGCGGGGGGGGGGGGACTTAGCTATGTCAGTCCTGCTCTTGGCTGTGCTGTGTGTTTGGATGTTGATGAGGAGCAGTCCCACAATAGGTCTCCTGTCACCGGGAGAGGAGAAGCTGGTGTGGAGTAGACCTCGATGTATCTGAGTCTGGGTGCTGCTCCCTGTTGACACCCTCCCTGTCTGTTGTTCAACAGACATCTGGCTTTCGGAGGGCGTCGGGGACATGTGGCTGCACTCGACTGGGTGACCAAGAAGCTTATGTGTGAGATCAATGTCATGGAGGCTGTGCGGGACATCCGGTGAGTGTCCTCTCATTGGTTGTCATCTGTAGTAGTGGGGGTGACACCAGCCGTTCCTGACTGAAGGACAGCCTGTGACCCCATAGCACATCAGGCCGCCCGTTCCCCAGGTTTCTCCACTCAGAGGTGCTGCTTGCTGTGGCTCAGAACCGCTGGCTTCACATCTACGACAACCAGGGCATAGAACTACACTGCATCCGCCGCTGTGACCGAGTGACGCGGCTCGAGTTCCTGCCCTTCCACTTCCTCTTGGCCACAGCTGTGAGTTGCCATGAGCCCTTAGGAGAGCCTCCCTCCTCTGAGAGCTAAGAAGAGGGGACGCAGGTGGCAGTCAGGACTCAGCAGTTCTCTCTTGTTCTCCCAGTCAGAGACAGGGTTTCTAACCTACCTGGACGTGTCAGTGGGGAAGATCGTGGCAGCTCTGAATGCTAGAGGTGGACGGCTCAACATCATGGCTAAGAACCCTTACAACGCTGTCATCCACCTTGGACACAGCAATGGTCAGTCTTGGGTTTAGCTTTTTTTTTTTGAGGCCTGCTTTCTCTGTTCCCCAGGTGGCTCTCAAGCTCCTGGGCTCAGGTGATTCTCCTGCCTCAGCCTGCTGAGTAGCTAGGTCCGCAGGCACATGGCCCGACCCCTGGCTCCTAGCCTAGCTCAATTCCGTGATCATTCTGTCCTGCTGCTGTTCTGCGCTTGTTTTTCGTGATTCCTTCAGTGTTACCTTAGCAGGGCGTGTTGGCACACGCCTGTAATCCCAGTACTTGGGAGACTGAGCAGGAGGGTGACTGCAAGTGGGAGCCCAGCCTGGGCTACATAGGCAGTTCAAGGCTAGTGTGAGCTGTGTAGCAAGATCCTCTCAATCAAATAATAAATAAATGAATAAATAAATTTAAAAAGTTATTTTTCTACATCTCTGACTTACTACTTTCTAGTGTCAAGTCCCCATCTTTCCCAAGTTTAGTCTCTCAGGATTGGGTTTATTTTAGTAACTTGTTTTTCTCTTACAGGTACAGTCTCTTTATGGAGTCCATCTGTGCAGGAGCCACTGGCAAAGATTCTCTGTCACCGGGGTGGTATTCAGGCTGTGGCTGTCGATTCTACAGGCACGTAAGTCACTGGACTGAGGCCTGTGGGGGGTTCCCAGCCGGCAGAGGTCAGCCTGGTGTCAGTTCCTGAAGGTCCTGAGAGTGGGGTGCAGTGTGTAACCGCTGTGTGCAAGCGTCCTGCTCGTGAGCATAGGGACGTGAGTCTAGTCTAGCGGCAGTGAACTGTTTCTCTAGGGAGCCAGAGAGTAAGGATTGTAGGTGTTATAGGTCAGGAGGAAAATTAAAGATACTATGTGGAGTCTTAAATAGTAAGAGAGAAAACGATTGCAGATTTTTGAATGACAAAACTTTTTTTCCCCAGTCAGGGTCTCACTCTGTAATTGAGGCTGGCCTTGAACTCTTTAGGTCACCCAGGCTGGCCTCAAACTTGTGGCAGTCCTCCTGCCTCAGCCTCCTGGGTACTGGGATTACATGTGTGCAGCACTACCCCCAGCCTCTGATTCTTTTTCATTTTTTGGGCAGGGAGGGTACCGGGGACCTTGTGCTTGCTGAGCAGGTGCTTGTGTCGCTGAGCTGTCTCCCCAGACTCTGATTCTTTAATTACATGAAAAAGTCAAAGCCGTTCTTCCCTTGTGACACGTGAGAGCTGGGCAGTGGGCCAGCAGGGGCCATAGCTGGCACTTGACTCAGTCCTTGTCCAGAGCCTTTGTGAAGCCATGTGGACACTAAAGCAAGTGCATGGCAGGCCTACCCGCGACCTGAGGGTGGCAGCGGCGCGAGGAGGCCTCTGCATTTCTGCTCTCATCCTCCAGGCATTTGCAGGGCCCTGCTGCTGCCAGGCTGCGTGAGCTGCTCAGCTACAGGCACGAATTACGGGCTGCCCTGTGGTGCCTGGCGGAGCTAATGGGAGTCCTTGGCCAGGCGGTGCACTAGGTCTCTACTCCTTGTCATCCATTGTCCTGGACTTAATGTGTCGCTTGGCTCCCAGTTTCTCCTTTCTCCACGCCTATCATCCCAACACTGGGAGGCTGAGGCCTGAGGATCGTTGTGAGTTCAAGACCAGCCTGGGTTACAAAGTGAACCCAAGGCCAACCTGAGCTGCAGAGCCAGACCCTGTCTCAAAAAGCCTCCTCCCCCGAAAAAGAAAAGCTTTCCTTCCTTGTTCCCGTTTGCCCAGATCTTCCCTGTCACTCCAGGTTGGAATTCTTTGACTCCCCTCCAGCCAGGCAGCCCCAGGTTCTTCCGTCATCAGTAACTGCAGAAATCTAAAAGCATCGTTCACGGAGTCCTTCTGGGGTCTCCAGGCTCTGCCACTTTGGTGGCTGTACGTGGCCACTTCTCTGACTATTCTTTTCTCCTGCTGTCTCTGGGTGCGAGGGATACAGCCAGGCTCCAAGCTCCAGCCCTTCCTGCTTCGCCCTGGGCGCTGCTGTCAGAGTGTCCCGCTCACGCCGCTTTCTGCCTTCGCACGCTGCCTGGGCCTGGAACGTGGGGGTCCTGTCTGAGGCCTTCACCTTCACCTCAGGACCTGCTGTTGGCCTTCCCTGGCTCCTGTGTCTAGGAGTTGGTCCCTTCCTGACCTCCAGGATTTAGTTAACAATTGGAGATACGACCCAAAATGATCTAGCAGGCCAGGCGTGGTAGCCCAAACCTGTCATCCCAGCACTATGAGGCTGAGGGGGGAGGCTCACGGTGAGTTCCAGCCCAAACTTAGCTACAAAAACCAAACCAAACCAAAACATTTGTGCATACCTGGTTTCTCCTTTCCTTTTCCTTTTTTCCTTTCTCGTTCTCACCGCGCCCCCCTGCCCCCCCAGTCTTGGGGATTAAACCCAGAGCATGTGTAAGGTAGGCAGGAGCTCTACCTCTGAGCTTCACTCTGGCCTTGATCTTGCTCACTGGTCTTGGTCTGTCCCTGCTTGTCTGTCGCTGCTCAGGAACTTTTAATAGGCTGTAGGGCTCCAGAATTGAAGGTGACTTTTTTTTTTTTTTTTTTTATTTTTTTTATTTATTTATGTGTGTGTGTGTGTGTGAGTGTGTGTGTGTGAGTGTGTGTGTGTGTGTGTGTGTGTGTGGCCAGCTCAGCCCACCAGGGGGTGGGATGGCTGGCATGGGGTGCTGGGGATTGAACCGTGGTCCCTGTGCTTTGCTAAGCTTGTTCTAAGTAGGTGCTTTAGACCACTGAGCCATCTCACCAGCCCCTGAAGGTGACTTTTAAAAGAGGTTTTCAGGGCCAGCCAGATAGCTCAGTGGACTAAAATGCCTGCTTAGGCAGAGCACCGTGGCTCGGGTTCGATCCCTGGCATGCCATGCCAGCCCTGCTCCTGGGGTGTGCTGAGATGGCAGTTGAGACCGGACGTGGTGGCGCGTGCCTGTAATCCAAGTGCTTGGGAGGCTGAAAACAGGAGGATCAGTAGTCCAGTCTACGTAGTGAGACCCTTTACTAAATACATTATAAAAAATAATGAGGTTTTATAGATACATTTGGCTAACGCCTACAATCCCAGAACTCCTAGGAGGCTGAGGCAGGCTGATGGCAAATTTGAGCCAGCCTCAGCAACTTAACTACTTAGTAAGACCCTGTCTCAAAGTTTAAAAAGTCAAAAGGCTGAGGGTGTGGTTCAGTGTGAGGCCCGACTCTGGCCTGCTGCCAGCCTGGTGCTTCCCCAGGGAGTCCCACACTGGGTGCGCTATAGGGGAAGAGCCTGCGAGGAGCCTGCTTCTGCCCCCCGGATTGAGCTGCTGGCCATGCCCTGTGTCCCCATGGCCATTTTCCTCCAGTTTTCTTTTTTTTTTTTTTTTTTTTGCGGAACCAGGGATTGAACTCAGGCCCTTGTGGTTGCCAGGCAAGTGCTTATTCTACTGAGCCATCTCCGTGGCCCTTCCAGTTTTCTTGTCAGAAGTATCCAGCCGTGTGTGCTGGCTTCATTGCAGGGCAGGTCTGTCTCAGAGGAGCTCTCAGAATGCACCCCTGCTGGGTTCACTGCCAAGGCCAAGCAGAGGCCATTGTCCCTTGGCAAGTAAGTGTCCCTGGCCTGGCTCATCCTCCTTCAGCCTCCTTTCTGAGGAACAGCTTGGACAGACAGTAACGTCAGCTCTGGAAAGGAAATGTGCCACACTTGGTGGCGCAGCCTGTGGTCCTAGCATTCTGAGAGGCCAAGGCAGGGACAGTAAAAAAATGTAGGCAGTGTAAAACTTCTTGATTTTGTCATCAGCTTTCCAGCCTGCCCTCCGTCCTGTGTTTGTGCGCGTGCGTGCGTGCGTTGCAGCACTGCAGACTGACTCTGTGGCCTTTGCACCGAGCGGCAGCTCTTCGGCCCTTTTACAGCCTTGATTTTGTTCAGGAAGCAGCAGGCCCTTCCGTGCGCCGCTGCTGCTTCCTGAACAAGTGCGTGCAGTCTTCAGCCTGATCTGTCCCCGCGAGGCCTGTGCTGGGGGAAGGGCTGCGGCCACGGCAGCACTGCAGGGGCCCCTCCTGACTCCCCTTGCCCAGTTCCTCCTCCCTGTCTGTTCTCTGGTGTTCATGCAAGTGGAACCGCTCTGGTTCTCATGCTGTACCCAGAGCCTGCCCTTCTGGAACGTGTCCCAACCGCCATGGCGCCCGTCCACTCTGCCCCCTGCCCTGCCGCCCACCTGTCACCGGTGGGACAGCATTCAAGCCTTCTGGCTGGGCTGGCATGTGTTCTCCCTTGGAGCCACCCTCATGTCTGCAAGGTAGCAGGGCAGGCTCTAAAGAAACAGGCCTGGGCGGGGGAGATGGCTCAGTGGAATAAGCGCTTCCCTGGCAAGCTCAAGTACCTGAGTTCAATCCCCGGTTCCGACAAAAAAAGAAAAGAAAAAGAAACAGGCCTGACTTCCAGCTCTGTCATCCACTAAACTGGTGGGCTTTCTCTGTGCATGGGTCTCGTCCATAAAGGAAAAATAATACAGTCCAGAGTTGGAAAAATAAAACAGTCCAGAGTTGCATGGTGTTTAGCTGGCTTCATTGCAGGGCAGGTCTGTCTCAGAGGGCAGGCCTGCCCTCACCATACGTGTATGGTGAGACTGGGTGTTACCTTGTCCAGATTGACACGGACCATGGCCTCAGTAAACCCATACAGACAGGGACAGATGAACTGATCTCCCACCTGCCACAGGTACATGGCCACCTCTGGCCTGGACCACCAGCTGAAGGTCTTTGATCTGCGAGGGACCTTCCGGCCTCTGAGTGCTCGGACACTGCCCCAGGGAGCAGGGCACCTGGCCTTTTCCCAGCGGGGACTGTTGGCTGCAGGCATGGGTGATGTTGTCAACATATGGGCGGGGCAAGGCAAGGCCAGCCCGCCCTCCCTGGAGCAACCCTATCTCACCCACCGGCTGGCAGGCCCTGTGCATGGCCTGCAGTTCTGCCCCTTTGAGGATGTGCTGGGGGTCGGGCACAGTGGTGGTGTTTCCAGCATCCTGGTCCCGGGTGAGTGAACTGGGGCCCATCTGGGTGGGACACTGAGGGGTGGACAAGGGCTTGGCCATCTGAAGCTGCAGCCCTGGCCTGTGTGCACGGCTCCATCTTCTAATGCCCGTAGGGGCTGCTGAGCCCAACTTTGATGGCCTGGAGAGCAACCCCTATCGGAGCCAGAAGCAGCGGCAGGAGTGGGAGGTGAAAGCCCTGCTGGAGAAGGTGAGCTTCCGGCCGGGCTGCTGTGGGCAGGGGGCTTGGAAAGAGGGTCAGGAGCCTCCCGGCTTCTGGCCCATTGCTGTTCTTTGTGACACCCCAGGTGCCTGCTGAGCTGATTTGTCTGAACCCCCGAGCCCTGGCAGAGGTTGACGTCATCTCATTGGAGCAGCAGAAGAAGGAGCGAGTAGAGCGGCTGGTACGTGTGGCCGAGTGCCCAGGCACGTGTGCTTGATGTCCTCCCCGCCACAGGCCTGGCGGAAGATGGGTGCTGCCACTCAGTTCCTTATGCATTCCACTCCTGTCCTTTCCTCAGGGCTATGACCCTGAGGCCAAGGTGCCCTTCCAGCCAAAGCCAAAGCGGAAGGGCCGCAGCTCCAGTGGCAGCCTGGTGAGGAGGAGGAAGAAAGTCCTGGAGCAGGAGCACAGGGTGAGGCGCGCAGCGGGTGACCAGCGGGGCCACCTTGGGCTGCACTGGTGCAGCTGCCGCTGCTCACCTTGCCCATTCCTCCTCCTCTCCCCTGTTCCCAGGACAAAGTCCGACAGAGCCTTGAGCAGCAGAAGCAGCAGAAGCAAAAGAAGCAAAAGGCCAAGCCCGCAGGGGCACGGCCATCTGCCCTGGACAGATTTGTGCGTTGAGCCAGGCTTCATGGTAGCCTGGAAACAGCCATTCCCTTGGGTCAGCTGGAGGGAGACGACTGCTCCTGGCAGCATAGGACAGCCCCTTTTGCGTGGGTCTGCGGGCTCTTAGGGTGGGTTGGTAATAAAGAAAGGAGTTTTGAAATAGTGTGGACTTGGCCTCTCCCCCAGCCAGCTGAGCCGTCCTGGCCGAAGGTCCGTGTCCTGCCCCCATCCCTTCCTGTCGGTCCTCTCTGGTCCAGTGACCTGAGCCTGGCCTGTTAGTCTTCTCCCCTCTCCCACATCCCTGGGGGCTACCCTTCCCATCCAACCCATCCAGCCTCCAGGAGTCTGGGGGAAGACACAGTGCAGTTGGGGAAACCAAATTTATTGAGGGGCTGTTGTCCTCCAGTCTTGGCTGGAGAGAATGTTATTTCTCTCTTCTCCGAGACCAACTTTGGGGTTCGGGTGGGCAAGCCAGGCTACCTCCTTCCTCTGTCTCTGGTGAGCCATAGCCAGCCAGGGCCCCTCCCCTCGGCCTGGGGGTGCTTGCTGTACCCACATCTAGCGGGTCGCAGTCACTCAGCTCTCCAGCCAGGCCATGAGGCGACACCTTAGGATGCCCGTGGCCCTCTGGAGCCAGGAGCAGAAGGGGCTAGTCCTATCTGAGTCCGGCCCATGCACCAGCTCCCAGGCCTCCCGCAGCTGTCCAGGGTCCAGCCTGTGCGAGGTCAGCAGGAACTTCCCGTAGCAGCATCGGTCCAGGGGATAGTGGGTGGCGCCTGCCAGCTTGACACAGTGGGTGGGGGCCAGGCCACCGCGCCTCGCACTCACTCCCACGAAGACATCCTCGAGGGGCAGCGGGGGTGCCCGGGCGGCCACTTTCAGAATGAGCTGCACAGCGGATGATGACAGCACGTACCCCGTACCGGAGGCATAGGGCGGAAAGGAGCCCCAGGTGGGAGGCCACTGCTCTTCTGATACCAGGTGGCGGCTTCCTGGTGCCCGCGAAGGCCTCACCCACCAGTGTACCCGGCCCAGGTACAGAAGCGGCACTGGCCGACCCCCCGCAGTCTTGCCCTTCCGCTGCTCCCAGGCAGCCACCTCTCTGTTCCTCTTGGGTGGCTCCCAGGCGCCCCCTCGCCGGATCAGCTCCGACACTAGCTCGGGGACGTTGACATACACGTCATCGTCTGTCTTGAGGACATAGCGGGCCTCGGGGCAGTGTGTGCTGGCCCATTCTAGCCCCACGAGGGTCTTGAGGGTGAGGTTGCGGTAGGCATCCCGGAAGGCGGCCTGCACCACGTCACCCTGAGCTGCCGACTCCCGGGCCAGGTCTCCCTGGGTGCCGCCGGCGGGGTGCTGCCCCTGGGGCTCCCCTAGCAGGAAGAGTGTCTGCACCCGGAGCCCCCGTGCCTGGCGCTGGCCGCCCCACGTGGCCCGGATGGCGTCCCTCCGGTTGCGGTGCCCGGGGGCTGTGCACACCAGGATCAGCAGGAAGGGCGGGGCCCCGGGGCCGCCGCAGACCTCGCGGTTGGGGATCAGGAGGCGGGGGAGCACCAGCGGGGGACCCGAGGCGGCGGGGGCGGGGAGCAGGGACGCCAGCGAGAGGCTCAGCAGCTCCTCACCCACGCCCGAGGGCCCGAAGAGGGTCCAGGCGATCACCAGCAGCAGCGCGGCCAGGAGGAGGCGCCGGGAGGGGCTGAGGGGCATGGTGGGCCAGCGCGGGCGGATCTGGAGGGGAGGGCAGGCGCTCAGAGGACCCGGGTGCCATGGCGGCCGCTGCCGCCGCGTCTGCCCGCCCCTCCCTTTTACCGGAAGTAGGCGGGCCCGCGGCCTCCTCGGAGATGCCGAGGGTTTTCTTGGGCGCAAGCGGCCCTACTCTCCCCAGAAACCCACCTTCCGAGCACGTCCGCGCCCGCCTCACCACCCCTGCGTAACGGCCCGCCGCGGTGCGCTTCCCCTTGGGGCTGCGGTGACCACGCCCCTGGCGGGGACACAAGGGCGCTGCAGAGGTGCCACCACAGGGCGCTCGGGAGAGGGCAGGGAGAGCGGCAGCAGAGCGCGCAGCTCCGCCGGGCCCTCCTGCCGAAGAGAAGAAAAGAAAGAGAAGGACACTCGAAGCTGCAGGTATATGTACTATTTATTGCCGGAGCAAGCCTGCAGCCTCACTTCTTCTTGGACACACCCACGGTGCGGCCGCGGCGTCCGGTGGTCTTGGTGTGCTGGCCTCGGACTCGCAGACTGTGGAAAGAGGCCACGGTCACGGCGGGAAAGGCCGGCGGGCGAGAAGGGGCGGCAGGAGGCGCCTACTCACCCCCAGAAGTGGCGCAGGCCCCTGTGGGCTCGGATCTTCTTCAGCCGCTCCAGGTCTTCTCGCAGCTTGTTGTCCAGACCGTTGGCTAGAACCTGGATGCGGAGGTGGGGGTCGTGGGTCCCGGGTCCCTCCCCGGCCACTTTCACTGGGACCCCACTCCAAAGCCCGCCTCACCACACACCTGGCTGTACTTGCCATCCTTCACATCCTTCTGCCTGTTCAGAAACCAGTCTGGGATCTTGTACTGGCGAGGATTCTGCATAATCGTGATCACGCGCTCCACCTAAGGCGGGACGCGACCGTCAGGCCAGCGGCCCCCTCCCAGGCGCCCCGCCGCGCCGGCCCTCGCTCAGGCTCACCTCATCCTCGGTGAGCTCTCCAGCCCTCTTGGTGAGGTCGATGTCTGCTTTCCTCAACACCACGTGGGCGTACCTTCGCCCCACACCCTGAGGTTAAGAGGTCTGAGAATCAGGCTCGAGTTCAATCTTTCCTTTATAACCCTGCTGTTCAAAAGGTAGGACCTAAAACAGTCCAGACCGTGCCAGCTTCCCAAACCACTCTTACCCCACCCACCTTTGCTGTTGTTAACCATTAAACAGAAATGAGATCCAGGTGTGGTGGCACATGCCTGTTACAGCACTAGGGAGGCTGAAGCAACCTTGCTGCTAAACTAAAGGTCATCCTCAACTACTGTAGACGTCTCAAAAAAAAAAAAAAACCACAACCAAAAAACCCACCAGACTACTTTGTTCAAGATGAGGTCTGAACCCAAAACAGAAATGCATCTAATGGGGTTGATCCAAGTGTAAGTGTTAGTTGTTTGGATTTCTCACGGTCACAGTTCTTTGTTACACTTTTTGGCGGAACCGGGGATTGAACTCAGGCCCTTGCACTTGCCAGGGAAGCGCTCATTCCACTGAGCCATCTCCCCGGCCCCAGGGTCACACTTCTTTGGATAAGCCAACAGTGACTGAAATTTCCTATCATCACAAATGATCAAAAAATAGTTCAGGGCTGGTGAGATGGCTCAGTGGTCTAAAGCACCTACTTAGAACAAGCTAAGCTAAGCAAAGCACAGGGACTGCGGTTCAATCCCCCAGCACCACATGCCAGCCAGCCCCGCCCCCTGGTGGGCTGAGCTGGCCACACACACAAAATAAATGAATGAATGAATAAATAAATCTTTAAAAAAAAAATAGTTCAGCTGATTAAAGCACCTGCTTAGGCAGACGCAGGGGCAAGGAGTTTGACCCCTGGCCTGCCATGCCAGCCTGCCCACAGGATGCACTGAGAGGTGGCACAGCCTTAATCCCAGCACTTGGGAGGCTGTAAACAGGAGGATCACTATGAGTCTGATCTATGCAGTGAAACCCACTACACCCTGTCCTAAATAAAAAACAAGGGGCCGGGGAGATGGCTCAGTGGAATAAGTGCTTCCCTGGCAAGCTCAAGGGCCCGAGTTCAATCCCCGGTTCTGCAAAAAAAAAAAAAAAAGAAAAAAAAAGAAAGGAACCATCAGCACCCTTAATCTAGGGGCCTAACTGCTTAAGTCATACCCAAAAGAAGCTTAAATTAATGTTCGTATCAGTGATAACACAGTGACACCATCACAGGCACTCATCACCTGAACTCATGAACCAAGATTGAGTTAGCAGTAGTGAGCTGGCATGGCTCCGGGCAGATGAAGCCCGACGAGAAGGCCCTGGGCTCATGGCCAGTGGGGGTGATCCCCTGGACCCCGTAACCGCTCCCCCCACTGATACCCACTCGGGCCCTAATGGTGTAACTTCATATCCTCTTTGCCAAAGCAATTAGGTTCCACTAGATTAAGGGACCCTAAATCCAAAGACTGGAGAACCTGAGCATATACAGGGGGCGGCAGCTCCAAGCCCAGAGCCAAGGACTATCACCATTAGGAAGAAACAAAGTCAGGCTCTTGGCCTCTTCACAGCATGGCTCTGCTGACACGTTTAGCTGTCAGAACTGAGAAATTTTTGTTGGCTAACTCAGCACATTATAGTGTCCCTCTCAAATTTTTCTTTAGTGACAACTGCATACTTGACATTCACTGTACAGGGGGAGTGGTGTACGCATCAACCTTTCTTTTTTTTTTCTGATCAAGTCTCCTTTATTCTAAGTCATTCATTTTACTTTTTGATACAGGGTCTTGCTATTCATCAAGCTGACAGGGCTGGCAAGATAGCTCAGTGGTCTAAAGTGCCTGCTTAGGAGAGCTTAGGCAGGTGCTGGGGCCCACAGGTCGATTCCCTGCACATGCTGCACCAGCCCTGCCCTCATGGTGGGCTGAGCTAAAAAGAAAAAAAAAAAAAAAGCTACGTGACAGGTAACTCAATCCTGCTTCAGTCTCCACAATAACAAGTACCAGAGATACGGGCTTGACCTAAGGTCCCAATCATGTTACAGAAGAACCTGTATCAACTTTGCAGTTATTCGTGGGGACATTGGGGGCCTGGGAGATAGCTCAGTGGAATAAATGTTTGCCTGGCAAGTGCAGGGTCCCGAGTCCAACCTGGTACCGCAAAAACGGAAAACAAAACACAACAATAACAATAATAAACTTGGAATCTTGGCAGGGTAATGATTCCTTAAGGGCCCCAGGCACTTCCCAGGTACTGACCAACCCAAAATCCTCAAGTTTACAGGTAACCCACAAATATGCTGCTGCCATACCTACTGAGGGAGGGTGAGAAGATTGCCCTTAGAGCATGGCAAGCATTTGGGTGCGGTCTCCCAAACCTGTAATCCCAGCACTCTGGGAGGCTGAGGCAGGAGCATCAGAACTTCAGTCCAGGCTTTGTCACTCAGATCCTATATGAACCACCACTGAGGAAGGCATGAGGCACAGTATACCCTCAAGTCTCTCTATGCTCTCAAATTTTATCATCCCCCGTAACTCCAGTGTATGCTTTCTTGGTTTAAGGCACTTTCCTTAGCCACACTTTTGGAAAGAATCCCTCTTGCCCACATACACAGCCTTATCCCTGCTCTATCTCCTTTTTGTTGATTTCCCTGCCCCAAGCTTTGGTCCTCTCATGTTAAAGAGATGTCTGACTTTCCACACACCTAGCAAAAATCTTAATACTCACTGAAGCTAGGGACAGCTTTTCCCAGTAATAAACAGGACATCAGGATCACTAAGAGATGTTACAGCAGTCCCTTACCATGTGCCCAAACATGCCCTGGTTAAATTGCCTCTCTATGAACACAAACTTGGTGCTCTGGACATCTAGCAGGTTGGGAGTTACAGTTCTATGATTTGGTAGTTGTATCACCATACATCCTATACATCATTTGGAGGTCTTCCACCAAGACAATGGGAGACAGTTTTTTTTAAGGTTAGATCCTTGGCCTGCTGTGCTGGCCCCATCTCATTCCAGGGCCCTCTGAGACAGCAACTGAGACTGGGCGTGGTGGCGTGTGCTGTAATCCCAGCGCTTGGGAGGCTGAGAACAGGAGGATCAGTAAGTCCAATCTGTGTAGTGAGACCCTGTAGATCCTGTACTAAATACATTAAAAAAAAGAAAAAAAAAAAACAAAACCAAAAAACCCCAACGACTCTGTAGGCTGACTTACATACTGGTCACTCTTTATCTTTTTACCTCACTACTTCATGTCTGCCTCCACTACTGAATGAAGTAAGCATGACAATCCTTATCACGACTATGCTTTACTCTGTACATTTTTTGTACCAATCCTGTGGGAGCATTCCTCCAACTAACCAGGCTCCCTTCATATTTATCCCTTGTATAAAAAAACCTACCACTTCACCTTTAATTGCTCAAAAGCATGTGACAGTACTGCTGGTCCACCACCCATTCCCTAACACCGGGTGAACACCAGAAGCTGGGGATGGTCATCAATACAGAGCCAGCCAGCCCCATGCAGTGCACACTACTAATTTCCCCAATTGCATATTTTTATTAAAAAAATAAAGAAGTGGACTGGGGAGATGGCTCAGTAGGATAAGCGCAAGGGTTCCACAAAAAAAAAAAAAAAGCCCCCATTTAGAAGGTCTAGAATTTCCTAGCCTTTGTGAAGCCTCTTAGGTTGCACCCACCATTTCAACAGCAGTTAAGGCAAAACCAATGCTGGCTCCCAGTCCAACTGAGGAGGCCTGAGATCTGGGTAAAAGCCCTGCTCACACACCCCTCACTTCAACCTCACACTTCCTATTTGTTGAGTTTTACTCACCTCAGGATGTATAGGAATCACCCAAGTTTTAGGGACCATAAATTACCTAGAAAGTGCCACTGTGATGCACTGGAGAAGACTTTCTAGAGAGAACCTCTCCAAACTAATGATCCAAGAAAACTTGAGGCAATCTGTAGGCAGCTGCAGCCATTCCCCTCCTGCCTGTGTGAATGTTCTGGCTTTACCTCAGATCTCTCTCCCGCTTTTGCAGGTAACTGTCCCAAGAAGTTTAGTTACTGATTTTTCTCTTACCCCAGGAGCTGAAGTCATAGGGATGGAACTGTTATGTCTCCTCAGCCCCGTCTCTCTTACAGTGTACGTTGGGACAACCTAAACTTCGCTGACGTTCTGTCCCCTCATCCTGCTTTACCTTAATGGCAGTGATGGCAAAGGCTATTTTCCGCCGCCCATCGATGTTGGTGTTGAGTACTCGCAAAATGTGCTGGAACTTCTCGGGGATCACTAGAGACTGAAAGAGCACAGGGGAGAGATCAGAGGCCCTGAACTAGCAGCAAGCCGGAGGCTCTCTAAGGCAAACCACCTCCAACAGAGCATTACGCAGGGCGCACTGGGAGCAACGACCCCGCCGCCTTCTCACACAACAAACTCAGGGCTCAGAAAGCTGGAACACAAAACGATCAAGCCTGAGAAAATGTGAACTCTGGGAGGCGCACGTCGGCTGTTGGAAAAGTACGCTGAGTGGCGAGGTCGCCACACACGCCCAAGCCTCTGGCACTTTCGCGCGACCGAGGAGTGACCCTTCCTCGGGTCCCGCTCCCCGGAATCCCAAGTCTTTGGTTGTGCCATCCCAGGACTGTGATCCAAGCGCCAAACGGAAAGCTGCAGGCCCTGAAAACAGGCCATCCTCGGTGTTCCGACAGCAAGCTTTCCCTGCCCAGGCTCCGATGTTGCCGGATCCCAGCACGGACAGCAGGCTTACCATGGCGGCAGCGGCAACGGCGGCGTGTAGGCCTCCTGTGGAAGAGAGAGCGGATGTGACGTCACGCCCTTATATAGTCTTTGGGCGGAAGAGGCGGAGTAACGGAAGAAAAGCACTTCCGCAAACCGCTTTAGCGGGAGTTGAGGTCTGAGAAATTGGTCGCCGCAACTTCCGGTACGGCCTGTCTAGTTTTACCGTGGTCACGTTCCTGGGCGTGTGCGCTTCTAGAGTGCCGACGCGAGACTGTGCTTAGGACTGCCGATTCCCATCTCCACTTGGGTGGCGTGGTCGGAGCTGGAAAGCGCGAGGAACAATTTCGGACTGTGCGGGACACGCTGGGATTTGTAGTTCTCCCCGGCAGCGCAGCCTGTGGGACTGACAGCTGCCGGAAGTGAGGCGGCGGGGCAATGGCCGCCGCTGCGACCATGGCGGCTGCCGCGCGGGAGTTGGTGTTGCGGGCTGGGGCTTCAGATCTGGAGGAAGAGGAGGGCGCCCTGGTGAGAGCGCGGGGCTGCTTGTGCTGCGTTGTGGCCTCTGGTCGTCCTTGTGTCAGAAAGGCCGGGCTGGGCTTAGGCACGGGGGCTGGCTCTCCCCTGCTACGGGTGGTGACACCTGTCTGGCTTCCCATCCCCTACCTGGGCTGGGACCCGGCCCTCAGCGGAGATGCGGCTGGCTGAAACTCAGGCTCCGGGCCACAGGTTCAGTCTCCCATTCACATATTTTGGTAGAGAAGGGAGACAGTGCAAACGCTAAGAACACGGCCTGAGGAGCCAGACTAGTTGGCTTCAGACTGCGGCTTTGCCGTTCGCACGCTGAGTGTCCGGGGCAAGGTGACCAGCCTCCCGCTGCCATCATTTTCCACACCCACGAAGCGGAGTTGATGGGACCGATCGTGTCGCTTGTCTTAGTGTTACAGCAATGTGTTTAAGGCCTGACGCACTATGTGTTCGAGGCTCCCAGAAGTTCGGTGATAGAATGCCTGAGGTATCAGGAGCCTATGGGTCCTAAATTCAAATGCAGGTTCTCCCTTGTCCACTACGATTTCTAATCTCGTTTGCACACCTTCACTTTTCATGAGGTGCCTGAATTTCTTTTAAGCACTATTCCATATTCATCAGCCCAAAGTAGCAGTAGAAGGAGTAAATTGTGAGATTGGACTCTTTTGACTCAGGACTATGGCTCCCCGGTAAAAGTGTCCCTCCCCCTCCCCTGAAAGATTGGGCCTATCCAGTTATGTTGTCCTTTCTCTAGTCTCCTTGGATTCCCCCTTCCATTAACTTGTCTTTCTCCAGGGAGGTGGTCCTGGGCTCCAGGAGCCACTGCAACTTGGGGAGTTGGATATCACCTCTGATGAATTCATCCTGGATGAAGTGGATGGTAAGTGATGTTTTGGGGTGGGAGCAGAATAGACCTCCCTTATCGTCTAGAAATAATGCACCAGTCCTGTAGTAGGTAACTCCTTCTACTAAACTCTAGAGGTTGGGGCTGGCAAGATAGCTCAGCGTTCTAAAACGGCTGCTAAGGCAAAGCACAAGGACCAAGGTTTGATCCCTAGCACCACAGCCACTCCAGCCCCGCCCCCAGGGTGAGCTGAGCTGGCCACAGAAAATAAATAAATACAAGCTATAGAGATATTATGTTTTCCCCTAATTATCTATAACTATAATTTTAAAGTTTATTAATTTTGTGGTACTGGGATTTGAACCCAGGGCCCATACATGCTAGGCAAGTACTCTATCATTGGGCTGTATTCCCAGCCTTTTATATTTTTGGGACAAGATTTGGTAAATTGCCTCACATGCCTCAAATTTGTAATCTCTCCTGCCTCAGTCTCCCAAATGGCTAAGGTTATAACTGTGTGCCATCACATCTAGCTGATAAAGTTTAATTTATAAATTAGGGACAGTCAGAGTAACAGCAACTATAATAAACCATAAACCGGATATGGTGGTGCGTATCTGTCATCCCAGCACTTGGGAGGCTGAGGCAGGAAGATCACCATGAGTTTGAGGGCAGCCTGGGCTACAGAAGTGAGTTCAAGGTTAGCCTATACTACATAGTGAGACCCTGCCTCACAAAAACAAAAAATAACATGAAATAAAATAAACCAGAACAGTTACTGCAATATACTGTAATTCAGTTGCTGGAATCACTACTCTTGTACTTTACCACCATTATTTAAGTAGAATGAGGATCATTTGAATGTAAGTACTTCCTACATGGATGGTCAGTCTAATAACCAGGAAGGCATCTGAGTGACCACCAGGCCAGTAGCACGTGCAACATGAACACATTGGGCAAAAGGATGACGCACATCTGGGTGGGATGGAGCAGGACGACACAGATTTCATCAAGCTACTCAGAATGGTGCAGTATTTAAAACACACACGTATTTTTGGAATTTTCCATTTAGTATTTTGGGTCTGCCATTGACCAGCCAGTAACTGAAGTGGCAGAAAGTGAAACTGCGTCTGAGGGCCGCTGGACCTGTGACCTTCAAGGCCCGGGCCAGAAGGAAGGAGGCAGGGACTGCTGTGCGGCTCAGTGAGGGGAGGGCGCTGTGGAGCCGGCCCCTTCTAATAACCTTCTGCTTGCAGTTCACATTCAGGCAAATCTGGAGGATGAGTTAGTAAAGGAAGCTCTCAAAACGGTGAGGTTCTCCACTCCACTAGCCTGCCCCACTCCACCCAGCCTCCCCCAAAGGAGAAAAATACCTCTTGCTCTTGTAATGTCCCCTTACCCTGCAGCCCTTCCCTGGCCCTGGCCCGGATCCCCTCACCCTGACTTCCTCCTGACCTGCCTTCTCTGTGTTTTCCCAGGGTGTGGATCTCCGTCACTATTCAAAGCAGGTTGAGCTGGAGCTACAGCAGATAGAGCAGAAGTCCATTCGGGATTGTATCCTCCAGGGGCGAGAAGGGATGGCGTTACTGGGACTGTATGGGGTGCAGTTGCAGACTGCCCTGCGGGCCAGAACTCTGCCTAGCTTTGTGGTGCCGTGCAGAGACCTGGGAGAAGATCTCTGCCTACACCCCAGGCCCTTGACTCTTGGGGCTCAGACATCCAGGAGAGCGAGAACATTGCGTCTCTGCACAACCAGATCACAGCCTGCGATGCTGTCCTGGAGGTGAGAACGCAGCCCGTAGGCCCTCCGTCTCACCTGAATGGTGACCTCTGGCGCCAGGCTTTGGCTTCTCAGCCTCAGGCGGGCACACATGAGAGCACTTCTGGATGCCCTCAGCGGCCTTTTTCTCCACTGCTATAATTAATATTATTTCCCTGTGACCTTTGGGACACCTCATTGTCTGCCACCCTCATGGGCTGGTGCGTACTAGAGTGGCCCACTTGTTCCCTGCCACCCCTGAGGCACATCTGTCCTCCCTGCAGCGCATGGAGCAGATGCTGGGAGCTTTTCAGAGTGACCTCAGCTCCATCAGCTCCGAGATCCGGACGCTGCAGGAGCAGTCGGGAGCCATGAACATTCGACTGCGGAACCGCCAGGCTGTTCGGGGCAAACTTGGGGAGTTGGTTGATGGTCTGGTGGTGCCCTCGGCTCTGGTCACGTGAGTCACTGGCTTGAAGGGTCATAGCAGGTGGATGGGCTGGGGGGCTCTGCCCCACACTCTATGGGGCTCCTGGCTCAGTTAGTGGATGTGTTGACCCTTCTGACCTTGATGCACCTGCGTCTTCTAATCTGCCCGCGCCTCCCTGCTCCCCAGGGCGATCCTGGAGGCTCCGGTGACCGAGCCCCGGTTCCTGGAGCAGCTTCAGGAGCTGGATGCCAAGGGAGCTGCAGTCAGAGAGCAGGAAGCCAGAGGCACGGCGGCCTGCGCAGATGTCAGGGGCGTGCTGGATCGGCTCCGGGTCAAGGTGGGGGAGGGGCGGGCACCTGAGACTAGAACTGGACTCTCCAGGAACTGTGCCCTGCCTCCTGCCCACAGATCTAATCCTTGCCTCTCTGGGTTCCCCGAAAGTCTCAAGTTTTCACTGTCTATTTCTCCAGTGATTCATGTGTGTCACTACCTCTGGTTTCTCCTGCACAGTAAAAGGGCCTTCTGTTTGGTCCCTTCATCTAGGCAGTGGCAAAGATCCGAGAATTCATCCTCCAGAAGATTTATTCTTTCAGAAAACCCATGACCAACTACCAGATCCCCCAGACAGCCCTGCTGAAGTTCAGGTCGCCGTCCCAGGGCAGGGCACGGGTGGGCTTCGAGCTCTGGAGCGGCCGAGCGAGGGGGCCTGTGGTGGTGCAAGGAGGCTGACTTGTTCTCCCCCCAGGTTCTTCTACCAGTTCCTCCTGGGCAATGAACGAGCAACCGCGAAGGAGATCAGGGACGAGTACGTGGAGACGCTGAGCAAGATCTACCTGTCTTACTACCGCTCCTACCTGGGCCGGCTCATGAAGGTGCAGGTGAGGCCCACAAGCCGGTGAGTGGCGTCCCTAGGCACAGGGCCTGGGAGAAGATGTCACCTGGTGAGGAGGGATGGCAGCGTTTTTCTCTTCTGTGGGAAGAGATGGTGATGGTACCTTTCTGTGCTTTCTCTAGTATGAAGAAGTAGCTGAGAAGGATGACCTCATGGGTGTGGAGGATACGGCAAAGAAAGATATCCTGGAGCCGGGGACCCTCTTGCCGGGCACACGTCATTTAACACATAGTTCTCCACTAGATTTCCGGGGCTATAGAGACTCCCTGAAGCCCATTGCAGATGCGGGTGAGGTGGGGCTGTGTCGGGCTGCCTAGGGTCCTGCAGATCCGAAGTATTTGGACCGGCCTGCTCGTTTTCCTTGACTCTGCCCCTCCGCACGATTCTTCTCAAAGCCATCACTCCGCAGCAGGAATACCATCTTTACCCTGGGGACCCGAGGCTCTGTCATCTCCCCCACTGAACTTGAGGCCCCCATCCTGGTGCCCCACACGGCCCAGCGGGGAGAGCAGAGGGTGTGCAGAGGAGCAGGCTTCCCTGGGAAGGGGACTCAGTGCCTGGGGAGGGAAGGCCAGGCCTCGGGTGGACCTCCTCTACCTCAGCCGGCAGGGTGACCCCCTCAGACACGGGAGCGGTGGTCCCATGGCTGTGGCCTGCTGCGAAGGAGACAGGCAGAGGAGTGTGGCCGCGTCCTGTCTCGGCCCCAGGTCCTCCAGCTCTTCAGCATCCTTTCGGGGTGTGCTTTCCCTGCCTGTGGCTGAGTGGCACAGGTCTGCTGAACCCCTTCCCCATGGTTGCCGAGTTCCTAGTGTTCTTTGCCTCTCTCCTAGTATCCATTTGAAGCTCTCTTCCGCAGCCAGCACTACGCCCTCCTAGACAATTCCTGTCGTGAATATCTTTTCATCTGTGAATTTTTTGTTGTGTCTGGCCCTGCTGCGCATGACCTATTCCACGCTGTCATGGGCCGAACACTCAGCATGACCCTGGTGAGATCCCTGATCCTGTTCTTTTTTTTTTTAAATTTATTTATTTATTTACGTGTGTGTGTGTGTGTGTGTGTGTGTGTGTGTGTGGCCAGCTCAGCTCACCAGGGGGCAGGGCTGGCTGGCATGTGGTGCTGGGGGATTGAACCACAGTCCCTGTGCTTTGCTGAGCTTGTTCTAAGTAGGTGCTTTAGACCACTGAGCCATCTCACCAGCCCCTGATCCTGTTCTTTTATGCCTCTTAGCCCTGATGGCACGGTGGGGTTCTAGTGGGCAGTTGTGACAGTCTGAGATGTCTAGCCCTGTACGTAGATAGAGTGGACTCCTTCGAAACCTTGGGGCCTGGGCCGAGGAGATGGCTCAGTAGAGTAAGTGCTTCCCTGGCAAGGGCAACGGCCTGAGTTCAATCCCCAGTTCCACAAAAATGGAAAAAAAGAAACCTTGGGGCCTCCCATCCTACCCTGGGCTAAAGCACCTGAAAAAGGGCTCCTAAACCTTGCTGCTCTGATCCTGAGGCCCACTCAGCTCATAGTTGTGCTGTGATTGGCCTGTGATCCTGATGATCTGTGAGGGACAGTGGCCAGAGTCAGTGGGCAGGTGGGACAGAGACCAGGGTCAGTGGACAGGTGGAAGAGTGGCCGGGGAAGGGGGCACATTTCCCTCTTAGGTCTTTCTCTGCCCAGGGCCTCATCCCTAGAGAAACATTCGTTTATTCGTCCATTGCTGCTGGGAAAAACAGCCTAACACACTTGCTTCCAATCCCATCCCTGCTTTCTAACCACAGAAACACCTGGAGTCCTACCTGGCCGACTGCTACGATGCCATTGCTGTTTTCCTCTGTATCCACATTGTTCTGCGATTCCGAAACATTGCAGCAAAGAGGGAGGTCCCAGCGCTGGACAGGTCAGGCAGTTCTGGTCCTTGTTACCCCTCGGGCTGAACTCTTAGGCTTGTGCAGCTCCAGCCTGACCGTGGGCTTCTGATGCGAGGTCGTTGACTCTTGTTCCTGTTAGGGTGCTCCAGAGGCAGCCACTGCTTTCTGGCTCACTTTCCCCACACCCCAGGACCCACCATTAGCCGGAAGTCCGTCCCCCTCACCCTCCATGCCCAAGCACCTTACCAGCTGACCTCTGGTTCTGCTTAAGCCCACAGGTACTGGGAACAGGTGCTTGCCTTGCTGTGGCCGCGGTTTGAGCTGATCCTGGAGATGAATGTGCAGAGTGTGCGGAGCACTGACCCCCAGCGCCTTGGGGGGCTGGATACACGGCCCCACTATGTGCGTGAGGGCGAGCGTGACAAAGGAGTCTCAGGACAGGCTTGAAGTTTTATAGGGGGTGGGGCACTGGGCCTGTGGGGCCCTGGGTCTACGAGGCCACATGGCACGAGGGCAGCGTAGGTGTCCTGGAGGGGAGGGTGGCGGGCACGTGGACATGGTGGCCGGCACGTGGACGTGGTGGCCAGCGGTTGTTCCACCTTCTAGATCACGCGCCGGTATGCAGAGTTCTCCTCTGCCCTTGTCAGCATCAACCAGACAATTCCCAATGAGCGGACCATGCAGCTGCTGGGACAGCTCCAGGTGGTGACAAGAGGGAGCCACACGGCCGTGTGGAGAGGCCTGGGTGGCTGGCTTTTGGCATCCCTTCCACTTGTTGGGTTTTCCAGGTGGAGGTGGAGAATTTTGTCCTCCGGGTGGCAGCTGAATTCTCCTCCAGGAAGGAGCAGCTTGTGTTTCTGATTAACAACTACGACATGATGCTGGGCGTGCTTATGGTAAGGCACCTGCCTGGCTGCCCGCGTGGAGGACTGCTGTCCCCAGACCTAACATGTCCCTTGTCTCCCCGCAGGAGCGGGCTGCGGATGACAGCAAAGAGGTTGAGAGTTTCCAGCAGCTGCTCAATGCTCGGACACAGGTAAGGATGTGGGAAAAGGTGGGGACAGATTTGTGTGCTATGTTGAGCTTATTGTGTGGAGTTCAAGGATGTATGGCGTAGTGGATCATGGATACCCAGAATTGGAGTTATTCTAGCCCTAAACTCACAATATGCTGTCATTTTTTTTCCTGTATTTTAGGGAAGGGTCTACAGGGTGTTCAGGGTCTCACTAGTAGATTGGACTCATAGTGATCTGCCTGTTTACAGCCTCCCAAGAGCTGGGAGTACAAGTGTGCCCCTCCATGCCGTCTCAATTGTGGTCTCAGCACACTCCAGGGGCAGGGCTAGCACAGCAGGGCCCGGGGGATTGAGCCCTGGCCCCCGCGCTTGTTTGCAGGTGCTTTAGTCTGCTGAGCTATTTGGCCAGCCTATGCTGTCATTAATGCTCTCTTTTATTGCAAATGATATGAATACACATGAACATATCACACCGCCCGAGAACAGCACCTTAGCAAAAACACCAAACTCCGATTCCTTCTCGCCTCACCCGCTCCCTCTCCTGCAGAGGTACTGTCGACCTAACTGTTGTGTTACATGTGCTCTTGCTTCCCCTACCCTTTGGGGTTTTCTTCCATGGTCGTGCTTTAAAAGGAGCTCTATGTGGGGGCCAGGGAGATGGCTCAGTGGAATAAGCGCTTCCCTGGCAAGCGCAAGGGCCTGAGTTCAATCCCCGGTTCTGCAAAAAAAAAAAAAGTAGCTCTATGTGCTGGGTGTAGGGGTGCATACCTGTGGTCCCAGCACTTGGGAGACTGAGGCAGGAGGGTTTCCTTGAATTCAAGGCCAACCTGGGCTACATAGCAAGATCTTGTCTCAAACAAATGACAGAAAGACCCTTAAAAAAACACAAAGGGTTGAGCCAGGAAGATAGCTCAGTAGAAAAAAACACTTGTAGAGATATAGTTTTGAGACAAAAGCCTGATGTCCCAAGAGAGTAGGGAACACTGGACTGAGCCTGAGGAGGGTTGCTGTCTGTTTGCAAATTCCCAGCAAGCTGGGACCCAAAGCAGCAGCTAACAGCTTCTCCTGCAGGCGCCCTGTCCTTTGATCCCTTGCTTGGGATGTTATGGGCTAGCATTTGGGTGAACCTAGTGTTAGGCAAAGGGTGGAAGTCAATAGAGATAGTAGCTGTATTCACTTAGGTAATTATGCACATTCCTTAGTCTGCCTTCACCCCTCAATAAATGTGAGGTGCTACTGAGGCTCTGGGCTCACTTGGAGAGAGGCTAATCTCAGTGAGACCTCTGAAGCTACCTGCATCAGGCCTTCTCGTCATTTCTTTCGGCACCGACCTGTAATATACAACAAACACTCAAGGGGCCGGGGAGATGGTTCAGTAGAATAAGCGCTTCCCTGGCAAGCGTAAGGGCCTGAGTTCAATCCCCAGTTCCGCAAAAAAAAAAAAAAAAAAAAAAAATCACTCAAAACGTGGGCCAGCCAGATAGCTCAGTGGATTCAAGCACCTCCTTAGGCAGATGCAGGGGCTGGGGGTTCAACCCGCCTGCCTGCCATGCCGGCCCCTCCCCTGGGGCTCCCTGAGACTGCAATTGAGACTGGGCGTGGTGGCGCATCATATAATCCCAGAGTTTAGGAGGCTGAAAAATAGGCAGGATCACTATGAGTCTGATCTGGGGGAACAACCTGCTCGGCCCCCCTTCCCGTCCCTCTCTTGGAGCCCCCCTCCTGTCCCTCTCTCAGACAGAAGCTTTCTTTCCCTCAATAAATATATTCTGTGTAGTGAGACTGTGTAGACCCTGTACTAAATACATTAAAAAAAAACCACTCGGGGGCTTACCAGATAGCACAGTATTTTAAAGCACCACTTGGGCAAGTGCAGTCGGGTACGTAGGACTGCAGCTGGATTCCCTGCTCGCAAAGCCTCACCAGGCCCACCTTTGAGGCAGCCTGGGCTAGCTAAAAAAAAAACAAAACAAAACTCAAAGCATAATTATGGGGCTCTTCTTGCTTCGGCCTCCTGAGAGCTGGAATTACAGGCGTGTGCTGCCACGCCCGCCGGGAGGCCAGCTTCTCAGAGACAGGGCCAGATTGTTTTCCTGAGTGGTTGTACCAGTTTCCTCCTTACCAGCTATACGTGCAAACTTCCTGTGCCACATTGTCTAGTGTGGTGTTATCAGACCATCTCTGTGTTCTCCTTGCGCAGGGGCCATGCTACTCTTCCTGTGTCGTTCCAATTTTAGTACATGTGCTGGTGAAGAGAGCACTGTATTCTCATGCAGGCCTTGATTTACATTTTCCTGATCAGAAAATTTTATACTGGCAGATCTTGCTGAGTAAAGTGCTATGCAGTGAAAACAAAAAAGAAGAAAGTATTTTAAATGTTTAGTAGCCAAGCAGATTTTTCTTTTTTGTAAATATCATGACATTTGACATTTTTTAAATATTTATTTGTGTGTGTGTGTGTGTGTGTGTGTGTGTGGCCAGCTCAGCCCACCAGGGGGCGGGGCGGGCTGGCATGTGGTGCTGGGGATTGAACCGTGGTCCCTGTGCTTTGCTAAGCTTGTTCTAAGTAGGCGCTTTAGACCACTGAGCCATCTCACCAGCCCTTTTTTTTTTTTTTTTTTTAAAATTCTTTTTTGTTGTTGTTACTAAAATTCATTCTTTGGTTTTATTTATTGTATTTTTAGGGAAGGGTCTACAGGGTGTTCAGGGTCTCACTACTAGATTGGACTTGTTAGTGATCCGCCTGTTTACAGCCTCCCAAGAGCTGGGATTACAGGTGTGTGCCACCGCGCCCAGTCTCAGACTATTGTTGTCTCAGTGTGCCCTGGGGGCAGGGCCAGAGGCAGGCCCGGGGATCGAACCCTGTACTCTGCCAAGAGGCCCAAGTGCAGTTGCTGGCACTTTAATCTGCTGAGCTACTTGGCTGGCCCTCATTCTTCAGTTTTAAAGAACACAGACTCGACCCAGGTGTCTTTTAGGTTGGGAGTTTTTTGGTTTTTTTTTTTTTTTCACTTATGTATTTGGTATAGTGCAGCTCAGACTCATAGTGATCCTCCTGTTTTCAGCCTCCCCAGCGCTGGGATTTTAGTCGTGCACCACTACACCAGGACTCATTTGGGACCAGGGATCGAACCCTGGCCCCTGCACTTGCCAAAGCAGGAGGTTAGTCTGCTGAGCTATCTTGCCAGCCCTCAGGTTGGGAGTTTCATTCCCCTGTGGCACCACATTAACAGAGATGGTCACATCTTGGGACAGAGACAAAGAACTGAGGTTAGCCACGCCCACAGTGCGTCCCTGCAAAGCACAGTGAAGACTTCACCCTGCTAGCAGCAGTCTTCCCACTGCGGTGCCCACAGTCCTCAGTGAAACAAAGGAGGCAACAGAAACAGGAGAAGGCAGGGAAGCCAGATGCCTCTCTGAACTCCCAACTCCCCCAAAGCCTATCCAGCCGGCATGGAGGAGGAAAACAACAAAAGCCACAAACGCCCATCATTTGAAAGTGATATAGGGAGGGGCCCAGGAGATGGCTCAGTGGAATAAGTGCTTCCCTGGCAAGCGCAAGGGCCTGAGTTCAATCCCCAGTTCCACAAAAAAAAAGAAAGTGATATAGGGGAAAGAAACTGGAGCGAGTTCATGTTCTCTGAAACCAAAGAATGAATCCCAGGAACAACAGCCTAAGAGCAGAATATACTTATTGGGAGAAAGAAAGCTTGTGTTCCAGAGAGGGATGGAAGGGGACCCAAGTGGGTTGCCTTAGGATAATTCTTAATTCTTTTAAAAAATTTGTAAGAATTTTTGGGCTGGGGATGTAGCTCAGTGGTGCACCACCTACTTGACAAGCATGGGGTCCTGAGTTTGATTCCTGATACCAAAAAAGAAAAAAAGATTTAAAAGGATAAGAATTATTTATATAGCCTACATTCTTATTTTATATTGACTGTATAGATCCCAGATGTGTTTTTTTTTTTTTTTTTTTTTGTACTGGGAATCAAACTCAGGATGTTGTGCTTTCAAGGCAGGCGCTTGTACCGTTGAGCTCAGATGTGTTCCAGTAGAAGTCGTTTTCCTTTTTGCAGTGCTAGGGATTGAACCCACAGCCTTGCACATGCCAGGTGTATCTGCCACCTTTCCCATTTATAGAACAACATACATGTACAACTTCAAAGAGGAAAGATGTACTTAGATTCAGTTTGAGAGGGTTTGGACCAGGGCAGGCTGCTGCAAGGCAGAAACCTCGTGGGAAAGGCCACAGCAGGTAGCTGTGTTCCACCCACGGCAGCCAGAAGTGGAGACCGAACCAGAGCCTGCCAGCTTCTGCGCTGTAGCCTGGCCCAAGGCCATGGCTTTCTTTCCTTTTTTTCTTTTTGAGACAGGGTGTTGTTCTGCAACTCAGGCTGGCCTTGAGCTCACTTTGTAGTCCAGGTTGGTCTCAAACTCGCATCTGTTGGCTGTACTTTGGTGCCTCTTTAAGACTCGACCAAGAGACCGGAGTGCAATTTCTGGCTAGCAGGGCAGCCCTGGCCATTTGTCTTCTGGTGGCCCTGCCTCTCCCAGCTGCCCACCATTGGGCAGCCCTGACCACAGATTCTTGTTGCTCTGTTCCTAGCTCAAGTTTAGTTCAGCATGTGTTGGAAGAGGGGGCTTCTTGGAGATTTCCTCCACTGCTTGTGAGATGATCCATACTATGTTGGGTGACCTCTCAGAATTGAGCTCTTTGTTATGGGCATATCCTTGGTCCCTGTGCAATCATGATGGCAGAATTGGGAAAATCTGCTCCTGCCCAGAGCACTCAGCTCTGTGTTTGCTTGTGTGTCCTCCAGGAATTCATCGAAGAGTTATTATCTCCTCCATTTGGGGGTCTGGTGGCTTTTGTGAAGGAGGCTGAGGCTTTGATTGAGCGTGGCCAGGCTGAGCGACTCCGGGGGGAGGAAGGTATGAGGCTGGTGTGGTCATGGGGGTCAGTGGTAAGGGGAGGGGGGTGAGAAGAACGGGATGCAAATGATAGGGGAAGGGCAGAGCAAGAAAGACCTGGCTGGAAGGGCAGAAAAGAGGGCTGAAGGGGAGGACAGCTGTGCTGGGGGGAGGCTTCAGGGGATGGAAGATTATCCTGTCTGCTCCTCTTGACACTTTTCCCTGCTGTCAGCTCGGGTGACTCAGCTGATCCGCGGCTTTGGTAGTTCCTGGAAGTCATCAGTAGAATCACTGAGTCAGGATGTGATGCGGAGTTTTACCAACTTCAGAAATGGAACCAGTATCATCCAGGTAACTGCAGCTCCTGTGCATGCCCCCCTCTCCTATCTCTATTTTCCTCTTTCCCCTGGATGTCACCTGAGTGACCCTTGATTTTGACTCCAGCTATGCCTATGGTTCTGGATGTGCGCTGCCTTGTGCCTGTCATCGGCATTAGCGCCAACCACAGTCTGAATCTCTCCTTAACTCTCTCTCCAGGGAGCACTGACCCAGCTGATCCAGGTTTATCATCGCTTCCACCGGGTGCTGTCCCAGCCCCAGCTGCGTGCCCTGCCTGCCAGGGCTGAGCTCATCAACATCCACCACCTTATGGTGGAGCTGAAGAAACACAAGCCCAACTTCTGACGCACCAGAATCTGCCGGGATCTGCCTGAGATTCTCTCCATGGACCCCTTATGCCATCCGTACCCTTCATGTCGGGTGCCCTTTGGTCTCCCTTACCTCCTAGGCCTTTGACATGCCTCGCCCAGCCTCCCCGAGAGGACCCTGTGGAGGCGGGGTCCTGAAGAATCGTCCCCTCTTTAGGTTTCTCAAGACCACTTGCCCCTGGACTTGTTTTCAGTTCCCCAGTTTTGTCACCTTTCTCAGCTCGTGTACAACCAAGGCTCTCTTCCTTCTACAAGCAGAAACTTTCACTGCCTTAGTGTCTTGCTCACATAGTTCTGTCACCATGTCCTGAGGTGTGAAGACTCAACTTGGAAGTGGTAGTCAGGAAGACTGCCTTCAAGTTACTTGGTGTTGTTTTGTTTTGTTTGCTTTTGTTTGTCTTTTCACTCAAATAATTTATTTTCTGTCACTTTTTGACCTAAGACTTCAATAACTTGAACACTAACCTGTTTATGGCTTGAGAATTACTCTAAGGTCAGTCTGCAGAAAACGAATAATTAATATGACACAACCCTCAGCCCTGGTTGCCTTTTTTCTTCCTCCTGGGGCTGTCAGGTGGCCACATCTCTCTCGAGTCACTTCCTCTCAGAGGACTTCTTGGGGTTGCAGCTCTTCTGGTGGGAACTGAGAAAGTAGAGGCAGAAAAGTACCCTCTGACCTGTAGCTACTTCCATGTATTGTGCAGAGAGCAACTGCTTCGTAGGTGACCAACTGTTGGTGGAAGGTGAGCTGTGACCAGAGGACAAATGATTCAGGGCTGGAGAACAAGGCCAGGCCGCTGCCCTCAGGGACCCTTGGGACTCCCCAGCATACTCCACGGGTCTCTCCCACAGCCCTTTAGCTCCTGTGGCTGTCCTGTCACAGCCTCTCGCTGGAGGGCCTGCCACTCTCTTCCCCCATGCCATGTTGGACCAGGCTCCACACAGATCCATCTTGGCCATTTCTGTGTGACAGAATTCCTGCCGCTTCTGCCTGTACATCTACCTCATCTGAGCTCACACTGTGGACTAGAGGGACAAGGGTGCCTTTAAGTTCTTAGGGGAAGGTAATGGGCCGGCCTCCCATTGGCTGCCGCAGCGGCCGCGGCTGGGCCCTCACAGGCTCTTCTCTGCTCCCGCCTTTTTTAGGGTTCCGCCCCATCCCCGAGAGCCGCGTTCTGATTGGCTCCGAAGCTGCTCAGCTCTTAGGCGTCGGACCGTGAGTCCGAGCAAGCCGAGGCTGAGGCATCCGGGAGCTCGGGCCGGCTTGAGGAGGAGGAGCAGGGCTCGCGGCGCGAGTACCCACGAGGGCACGTCCCGGCTGACGGAGGGAGGCCCTGACTTTCGCCGACCTACCCGCCGCCGCCGCTTTCGTCTCCTCGGTGGCGGTCCACGGTGGTCTGGGTTCCAGGCGCCGTGCTGGGATCCAGGGTCCGCGAGCTCCCCCGGCGCCGGCCCCGGGGTCGCCTGCGCACCGCCCCGCGCCCCACCTCACCACCCCTCTCAATGTCGGTCTTGGGGACCCAGCTGGTCCACCTTTGATTCCGGGCTCAGCGCAAGGACAGACGTGGCCAGGGATTCTGGATTTGGGAAAGGAAAAGGCGGGCTGCTTTGACAGCGACTTCCCAAAGAAGGGACCCCGACACCTTCGGGGAAGGCATCATGGTCCCTGGAGACCTGGGAAGGACCGCAGAGACCGGCGACAGCTACTGGGCTGGAGTGTTAAGCAGGCTGGAGACAGGCGGGCGAGGTCTTTTTCCTTCACTTTCTCAATCATTAGCTGTAGATAAAAGCCATACAGACTTCCAGTTTCAAGCTTTAGGCCACGAGAACGTGACCTTCTGCGAGGCCTCTGAGAGGTCCAGGGCCTATGCAAAGTCCAGAGCTGCGGGGAGGGGTTGGAAAAGCCTCCGGCTCGAAAAACGGTCAGGACAGCCCCTTTTAACTCTAAGGGAACAGTGACCTCGGAGGAGGGAAAGACTATTCCTTGAAAGGCCCAGTTCACTCATCACAAAGGTAACCTGAGACCTCATTCAGTGCAACTGCCACTTTGAAGCTTGCCCACGTTCATGCTTGCAAGTATATTCTCTCATTCATTCTCTCTCGCTCTCTGAAAATCTTTCAGTTTTGCAAAAAACTCCACTAACGTCCTATACGAAGACCAGGTGTCTTTTCTGAAATCTTTTGTTAGACCCAAGGATCGGGCTATTTCGCTGGTTCCGTGGTGTTAGGGACCTGGCTCCTCTGGTTGGCGCTCAGCGTATGCGAGGCCCTGCGTTATTCATTCCTCAGCTACATCACGCGCAAACACCAGGTTCCACAGTTTCCGTCTCCTTATCCTGCCCATCCCCAGTCCAAATGTGGAGACAGCCCAGAAGCACGCGTTCCAAACAGCTGGGTGTGAAAGGGAGACTACGGGACAGCTTTGGAGACCCTGCATGCATTCAAGTGAAACCTCAGCCTCAGTTTTCAGGGACATGTAACCCCGCCCCCCTCGCAAAGTAACCCTTTGACCTAAGGCTCCTTCAGGAACAGCGATCCACAACCAAAATGCAAAGGAGACAAGTAGCGTGAAAAGGAGCCGCGATATCTACCTAGACCTCAAGAGGGCAGCAGAGGCCAAGGGATGGAGCCGGGCTACTGGTGTCCCAAACCACCAAACTAAAGGCTCTTTAGCGCTTGCAGCCCGAATCCTGGAGCGCTCGCGCAAGCCTGTAATCCCAGCACTTGAGAGGGTGAGGCAGGAGGATCATCGCCAATTCGAGGCCATTCTGGACTAGTGAGTTGAAGGCTAGCTTGAACTGCATGAGACTATCCCCCCCCCCAAAAAAAAAGAGAGAGCGAACAAAAGAGACTTTCAGCTTTAAATCCTGTGTTCTGTGGTTTATATGAGGCCATGTGATCCCCAGCCTGAAACTGGTAACTTCTGGAGAATATGACTAACCTTTAAACTTCTTCATTTATTTGGTTGAGGACAAAACACAGACTCCACAGAGCAGGGGCAGCTGGGACTGCTGGGTCAGTATCCTTCCCTGTGCTTACCCCAAGACCTTCATCTGTCTGGCAAGGGGTCTCTAGTGTCGCATAAAAAGGGCTTGGAGGTGATTCCATGGGCTGTAGTGACCCACAACATTTCTGGACTCAATCTACAGTAATAAAAACAAAGTTTCTCTACAATTCTTTACGTTTGTGCCCCCACTTTGCTTTATTTCCTAATTTGGTTCTGTGGAAAACATTTCCTTGACATTGCTGTATACCATGGTGTGTGGAGTTCCCATCCTAGCATCAGTTTCAGAGTTCTTGAATGGGCCCGTGTGTTCTGGAGACAAAAGAAAAGGGGCATCCTTCTCTTTGCCATCTTGTAAATATGGATAGGGCCACCTTTGCACATGGAAAGTACGGCGCAGAAGGCATGATGAGGAGCAGGTAAATTGGACAGCCTTCAGAAAAAAGTACTCACCCCGGTTCCACCAAAAGAAAAAGAAAAAAGTACTGGGCCAGAAAGATGACTCAGTGGCATAAGCGCCTTCCGGGCAAGCACAGGTGCTGAGTTTGATCCCTTGTAACAAAAGGAAAAGAAAAGAAAGAAAAGATTATAAACCAGGCATGGTGGCATACACCTGTAATCCCAGAATTTGGGAGGCTGAGGTGGGAGGATCATTGTGAGTTCAGGACCAGCCTGGGCTGCAAAGAGAGCTCAAGGGCAGCCTGAACTGCATAGTGAGACCCTGTCTCAAAAAAGACCACGCACAAAAAAAGTACAGTAGAATCTAGAGTTACGACTGGTCTAACATACGAATAATTTGGTTTGCAACTAGAAATTTATGTTTAACTTAAACCAAAGTCTTGAGTTTCAATCTGAATGCTGGTTGCTTGTGCAGTTGTAAACAAAGACTTGTGATGCCAGAAAAGTGTGTGTAAGCATATGTGTCAGTCTGAGCCCAGATATGTGTGTTTGTGGATGTGACTTTTGTCAGTGCTTTATATAATCGCTACAATTACTGCTATCACAATGGCCCCACTAGAAAAGAAGCTAGGGAAGATAAAGCAATCATAATCAAAAAGAAGGAAATTGTAGAGTAATATGAGAGTGGTGTTTGTGTGAATGGCCTCGCTAATATGTACAGCATTTCAAAATCCACCATCTTAACAATCTAATAGAGAAAAGATTTTTTTATAAAGAAGCTGGTGTTGCTAAAGGTATTATTCAAATTAGTAAGTCATAAGCGACAGTGTTAGATGAGGTAGAAAAGCTATTCTGAGTGTGGATGGACGAAGGGCAGATGGCAGGTTATCAGCTATCTGAATCTATAATTTGTGAGAAAGCTAGGGCTATAAATGAAGACCTTGTGCAGGATAATCCATCAATGAGTGATAATGGTGAAACATTTCATGCCAGTAAGGGGTAGTTTCACTTTTTTTTTTTTTTAAATTGGTTGTTGCAGAGTCTCACTACGCAGCTCGGACTCGTGATTATCCTCCTGCTTTCAGCTTCCCTAGTGCTGGGATTACAGGCATGCACCACTATACCTGGACTCTGGCCAGCTCAGCCCGCCCTGGGAGCAGGGTTGGCACGGCATGTGCGCTTGCCTGAGCTTGCCTAAGTAGGCACTTTAGTCCACGAGCTATCTCATGCAGTTCATAGCATACCTAGGTATAGTGAAGCAGCCAATGCTGATAAAAAGGCTGCTGAAAATTACACATACTATGAAACAGTGACACAGAGAGGGCTTTTGCTCTCATCAAGTTTTCAACTGAGGCTGAGACAGGAGGATCGTTATGAGTTTGGGACCAGCCTGGGCTACAAAGTGAGCTCAAGGCCTGCCCCTGAACTGCATAGTGAGACCCTGTCTTAAAGAAGACAACAATGGCAACAAAAAAAGATGACAACAACAACGAAAGTTTCCAGCTGTGACAAAATTGACCTATTCTGGGAAAAAACTGGTCAGGAGAACATATACTATGTAGGAGAAGAAAATGCAAGGCCACAAGCCTGTGAAGGACGGGCTAACCTTGTTGCTGTGTACCAATTCAAGTGGTGACCTCAAGATAAAGCCCCTCTTGGTTTTTATCACTCTGAGATCTCTAGAGTGTTCAGAAAGCAACGTCATAAAGAATAGACTAGAGGTCATAGGGAGAGCTAATGCAAAAGCCTGGGTAACAAGAATACTTTTTCTTGAGTGGATCAGGGAGGCTTTCTGTCCTACAGGTAATAAATATCTAGAGGACAAAGGTTTACCTCTGAAGGCTTTCTCCATCATGGACAAAGTTGCTGCTCACCCCCAAGATTTGGAAGATCTGGCTGAAGAATTCCCAAGGTTTAAGTTGAGTTCCTCCCTCCTTGTACAATTCCACTGCTGCATTCTGTGGACCAGCAGATGATAGCTAACCTTAAGAAGAAGCAGCTACACACCGAGGAACTGTTCCTGAAGGCCTTCTAGATGGTCTCAGATACAGATTTAACCCTTAAAGAGTTTGGAAAGAAGCTTACAGCATCCTTTTCCGTGTGGAGCTGCAAAATGCTGGGCTAATA